TTTTTTTTTTTTTTTTTTTGAGACAGATTCTCATTTTGTAGTGTAGGCTGACCCTGAACTCACTTATGTAGCCCAGACTGGCCTTGCACTCAGAGCGATCCTCCTGCTCCAGCCTCCCCAGATCTGAGACGTCAAGGGAGCACCACCACTCACGCACACACGGCTGAATGTGCACCTTTCATGCAAATGCTGTTTTCTAGGGGTAAAGGACCGCGTTCGGGGAAGAGAAGCCGGGTCCCAGTTGAGGGAGACAGGAAGATGGAAAAAAACCGTCGCGTGTCGTTGGGCCTCGGTTCCTTCACTTGGTTGTTGCAGGTGACTGCACTAACTGCTCAGTGCACCGCGATGGGCCCGAGTCTACCGGGCGAGCCGGGGCTTCGTGCCTGCGCCCCTGGCCACTGCGTCCCACGGGATCGAGGAGAGGCGCAGGACACCTCCTGCCCTTGTCGCGGGGACACCTGAGCCACCTGCGTGTCGCTGCAGAAGCAGGTGGGACCCTCTCCCACTTTCCCGGCTGCGAGACCGCTCCTCCGGGGACGTCGTCTCCACGGCTGGGGCCTCGCGGGCGCAGAGCCTAAAGGAGGCGTTCGCGGGATCGCTTTGCATGAGACCCGGGATGCCTGACAGCCAGCTTGCTGCTCCTGGGAAGCGTGCTGTGGAAGGGCCGGGTCCCCAGCTCTCCCCGGCACTATTGAACTGCGACGGTGGGGTGGGGTGAGGTGGGTGGTGGTCCGAGATCCCTGCCCCCACGTCCAGGGCCGCTTTTAGAAAGCACTGTTTCTCCAGCTGGGCCTCCTGAGAGGCCCAGGAAGCTGCCGCAGCATGCTGGGGCACTGCAGGAGCCGGGCAGGCGCACCACAGCTGAGGCCAAGCAGGAGTGTCAGTTGGGCTGGGGGTGGCAGGGAGAGGAAGTCGCCAGGTGCACCAGAGGATGGAGGAGCACCGAGAATCTGGGTCACCTCTCGGCCCTCAGCCAGGGCACACAGAGGCCTGTAGGAGGGGGCAAGTTTAGCCCTAGTCCTCCTGAACGGGCCCTCTCTGTGAGCTGGCCAGGAGCAGCTCCGGTTCTACACCCAGCTCTTCTAGCCTGCACTAGGAAGAGGGGCTGCCACACTTAGATTCCCTGTCGCAGCCTGGAGACCCAAATGTCTAGCCCTCGGAACCACGCTTGTGTGGGTGACCAGGGCGGCTGCAGGACCCTGTAGGCCTTCAACACCTGTCCTAGCTGGAGGGGTCACTCCCATCCCAACCCTGCTGAAACGGATGCTTCAGGGGCAATCTCAGGTTCCCACGGAGTGGTGTGGGGGGTTGTTGTAGATGGAGGCCTTCAGTTGCTCAGTGTCCCCGGTATCAGGGACCTCTGGCCCGAGCCCCCACTCCACAGTGCTCAGCCTCTCCTCGTCATGGGCAGGGCCCGGAGGAGACTTCTGGTGTCATCACAGGACCTGGGGTGGCAGTGGCTCCCGGCACCGCTTTGCTCTTTTCTGCACACACGTCTACTTCCTTGCCTTCTGGGGAGCACGAGGGGACCTGCCTGCCTTACATAGCAACCCCAGCAGGCTTGTGCTGAGGAACAGGATGCCACCCTGGTCCTGCGTCTCCTGCACCCCCACCCTGTCTCATTTCCCTCATTCTTGGATGCTCGCAGGGGTTGCTTCCCCAACACACTGTCTGCACTTTGATTCTCACTTCAGAGTCTGGAGGAACCAGCCCGATGTGCTGGACCAGCAGGGGCTGGCCCTGGCGGAGAGCAGCGAGGCTGGACCCCTCCATCCCTCCAGCCATACCCAGCAGTGTCCCTGTTGCAGGACGCATGGGGCGTGGAGGGGCTCCCACAGCCCCAGGGCTGAGCCTGGTGGGTGTGGAGGTTACAGATTTGGGCTTGGAGTTGGGAAGCCTCAGTTCCAGGGCTGACCCCCTGCCTGTCTCATGTAACTTGCTATCATATCAGTTTCCTGGCCTGTAGCGCAGGGATGGTCACCCCTGCCCTGCGGAGCATGGAGCTGTGCTGACAGCCACCCTCCTGGCCCTGCATCTCATGGATTAAGTGGTCACCCAGGAGGCCTGGCGTGTGGTGAGTGACCTGGCACTGAGCAGGGCCGTGGGCACCCTCGGAGCCTCTGGGCTGCAGCTCCCCAGTGAGGCGGAGGCCCAGGGACTCACATCACCAGCCTGGATCTCCTATCTCCATCTGCGGCAGGTGGGCACTGGTTTCCTCCAGTTGGCAGATCTGGGGTTACATCAGTAGTGTTGCTGACTCAGCACATGCAAGGTGGGGTGTGTCATCACGCACCCCTCCTGCATGCAGAAGGGCACCAGACATCACTGAGGGGGTTGTGCAGGCGAGCTTTGCAGCCCTAGGCCCTCCTCCAAGCATGGCTCCCCAGTTTTGGGCTGGCACCGTAGCCTTCCTGTGCCTCAGTCTTCTTACTCAGGCAATGGGGATGTTCACTGTTAGGTGTGTGGCTCAGGAGTCAGACAGGCGAGGTGTGGATCGTACCTCCACCGTGTGTTTCCCGTGTGATCCTGGACGGAGGAGTTGGCTGGTGACTGGAACAGGACTGCCCGCCTGTCCTGCTTGGCTGTGCCAGGGGTCCAGCCCCTCCCTCTAGTGCTGTCCCCTTCCTCTCTGAGGTGTGAATGGCTACTCCAGGGTCTAAGGTGGGGTGAGTGTTGGGGGGAGCAGGATGGCGGTGAGCGTGTGTGCTCATTATTATCTCCGAGCCCCATCTCTGATTGCTGTCTCAGGCCCTTGAGAGGAGAGGGGCAGAGGGTGGGTGGGGCCGAGGCTGGGCGTGTGACTGGCTTAGTGCTACCTGGTGTCCCTGTGGGCCCCTGCAGGGTGGAGCGGCTCTATCCACCGGACCAGAAGGGCCCTCTCTGCAGGGCACGCATGCAACTGTGTCTACCAGGAGGTATCAGAGTTATCTCCTGGCATGTATGGGTTGCGCTGATGCAGGAAGGGGCCCAGGCAGCCCCCACGTCAGGACTGGGGCAGGACAAGGCCTCCCTGCCCTGCTCAGGTGCCTGCAGAGCATGGCTCCCTCCTGAGCTGGGCCTGGAAGGATGGGCGGGGAAGTGCAGGCCGGGCTGCGGGAGGCAGATGCCCAAGGAGGTGGAGGTGTGAAGCCTGCCCTTGAGGAGGAGGCGTGGCATACCCAGCAGCTCAACCAAGGAGGGTGTGGCACCTTTGGCTCCTCTCTTTCTTGCCCCAATCAATTCAGCAGCCCGTCCCAGCTCAGCCAGAGCTGAGCGGGGTCCATTAGACTCCCACCCTGTGGGTGTAGTGTGGGGCCGTTGTGATGCTGGGTCTTGGCTGTCACCTGACTGCTTGGAGAGATGGTGGCGCTGGCCTTTTGCCCCAGTCTAGGATCACAGGACCTTGCACTGAGTGGCGTCTCTTGCTGCTGCTGCTGCTGCTGCTGCTGTGGCTGCGGCTGCCAGACACCTGCTGCCGCAGTCTGTGACCGTGGACTCCCCGTGGGTGCTCCAGGGAGCTTGGGCTTCAGTCGCAGTGCCTAGGGCTGTGTAGCCTCCAGTCCCCCGACTAGCAGCTCCTGGTTTCCGCTCCTGGTTGTCCGGCCAGCCCAGCGTACCTCCTTGCTCACATACACACCCCACGGGCCTTTCCCCAGGTGACCCCAACAGCTACACCCAGGGCTGGGCCTGTCCACGAGCTTCAGGCGCTGCTGAGCAAGGAGGTGCGAGGGGGCCCCATGAAGGACGTTCCTTCTTCACTTCCATGCAGGGCCAGGGCTGGCTCGCTGCTGTCAAGTTTAGTTAGCAAGGCCTATCCAGTTTACTCAGTGACAGGCCCTAGGGAATGACAATCGGCTGCTGCCCCCGTGGAACTTAGCCTCTCTGGGGGCTCATGTGTTGAGCCCTTGAATCTGCACGCTCTCCTGGGAGCCTCCCGCTCCTGGGGTGGGTGGGAGAGCTACAGCTTCGGCACACAGTGCCCAGAGGCTGGCGACTGGGCATTCACTGTGTCTGCAGTACAGCTGACAGCCGAGACCGCCGGGAGCGGGCACATACGGTTCTCGGTTCCTGAGACACAGATAACTGGAGTTTCATAATGAGTCACTTCTCTCCCCTGCTCTTGCTTATGATCCCTCTTCTCTCATTTCCTCTAACCCTGGGCTTCTGTCTGGTCTGGTCCACGCACCTGGTTGCCCCTTTGGTCAGCACAGTGGCCAGGCGGCTTGGCGACCTGGGTCTCAGAGCCCCACGGAGAGCACAGCAGCGAGGTTAGGAGGCTCCTCCCTTGTGCCGCAGAGGCTCCGGGCCTGTCCCAGGCTGGGGCCGGGCTGACCTGTGGTGGGCACTCGCTCTGTCCAGAGCC